TGGTCGACTACATGGGAGTCCAGTGACATAGCCATTACGCCAACTGCTGGCCCCTAAACTCCACATTTCTAACAAGCTTCTAGGCAGCATAGGTGCTCCAGATGCGAAAGCAGCTCAAAGTTGCCTCCACATGGTCATGCATTTTAGAAAATCAAAACATATATCCTTACGCGCATGTGTATCCATAATATATTTTAAACTCACAAACTCTTACTCAACACAGGAACACTTCTTCCTATTCTGTTACCCCTGCCTGCCACTACCATTTAGGTGAGTAGACGCGTTGAGGGTTTTCCATAATCAGAATTTGGCTTGTCAATATTTCAGTTATCATTGGCCTTCACCACTTTCAGTCTCAATAAGCACATCCTTCCCGGCTCTGCTTTGTTGATGTTTCTGTGTTAATCTCACTGGTAACAGAAGGGGCTGGAAAGCTGCAGATCAGTGGGCAGAAAAAGGAGGGGTGCTTACATGCCCCAAAGCCTGAGGGGATGAGAAGATGGAGGAGAAATGATCACAGCATGACCGTGCCCCATTGGGGGTGCACGCGCGCTCTCTCTCTCTCACTCGCTCTCTCTTGTTCTGTATTGCTCTCTGGCAAGTGCAAACATTTTTAAGAAGTTAAAAGACAAAAGAGACGGGGCGGGGAAGCAGGTAGTGTAATCGTTAAGATGCTGGATCCCACATGGTCAAATCCACGATTTGAAACTTGGACCTGGAGGGTTGAAAAACATGTCAGCAGTGTGTGTGTGTGTGTGTGTGTGTGTGTGTGTGTGTGTATCCCAAATCCTGAGATGAGAATGGAGGAGAAGGGATTTCTCACTTTCCCTCTTTCTCTGTCTCTCTGTCTTTCTCTCTCCAGTGAGTGCATGTACCCTATGGCAAACATCTAAAAAAAAGAAGAGAGACAGGAAGAAGAGGATGGCTTCATCATCTTTGCTCGTGCTTTGATTTCTCAAATATCATCTTGTCCTTTCATTTCATTCCCATTCTGGCTTCTAGAAGACAGCTGTTTTCTGGTCGTGACCTCATATGACCCTCCCTTTTTCTCCTTCCACATTTGAAAACTCTTTGCCCCCCACACTCATTCTCATATTTCTTTCCTCCACCATCATTTCTGCCATCCCTATGCCACATCTCAAAATAATCTGAACAAATCAACACAAATACAAACAGAAACACCTATTTATAATGTACATTATTTTCTTCTATTTTAAGTGGTATTTGCTAAGCAGTATTACTTTTCCTCAGTTAACACTTCTGTCCTTCCATGTAATCGTGTCGGTTTTAGGTATCCACGACAGGCTCTGAGTAATTACAATTTATTAGGCCAAGAGTATGGCTAAAGTTCTGTTAGTCTTTGTACACCTGCATATGTCAATCTCACTGCAGTTCCATGGTTCCCAGAGTGTGCACTGAGACAGCCGGAGGTACAGTGTGGAACCCACCAGGAAACATTTGAACATTTCAGGGGAGGGACCAGCAGATGGTGTAATGGTTATGTTGCTGGACTCCCATATGGCTGACCACTGTTCGAGTTCTGGACCTGGAGGCTTGATGCTCATACCAGGCATGTGTGCCTGTGTGCCCCAAATCCCAAGAGGAGAATGGAGAAGGGACTGTGGCATGGCTATCCCCCCTGGGGGGTGATTTCTTGCTTTCTGTCTCTCTGATGAGTGCACACGCTGTATAGGAAAAATCTCTTTTTAAAGAAAATTTAGGGAAATACAGCAAGTAACACTCTAAACTCTGTCAATTGCCTTACCAATGACTAGCTCAAGGTAATACAAAGTTTCAACAGTAGGTGGCGCTGCATTCCTTTTGATGATGTCATATATTTATGAAGCTGGGTTTCCCATAGTGGCTGCAATAAAAAGCAATTACACCATTTTTGTATAATGTGTACAGTAAAAAAAATCAGTGTGGAAAAGGAAATGAGGAAGGACCATATCCAATTTGATTGAGAAGTTGTGCAGTGCCCAATAGACACAACCATTCCATTTGTAAATAACTATTTAAGAGTAAACTAGGGAACAAGCAGTTAGCGTAATGGCTATGTCGCTGGACTCCCACATAGTAGACTGCGGTTCACGTCCTGGAACCGGTGGCTTAAAACTCTCGCCGGGTGCGTTTGCGTGCGTGCCCAAGATCCCGACAGGAGAATGGAGGAGAGGGGATTGCGGTGTGACCATCTCCCATCGGGGGCGATTTCTCGCTTTCTGTCTCTATGTCTCTCTCTGTCTGTCTGGTGAGCGCACGCGCCCTATAGTGAAAATCTCCCCCCCCCCAAAAAAAAAGTAAAATAAAAATTTATTTTTTCTTCTAATTTATGTGTATTAGTTTTCCAAGCAGTTACTAAACTGTTAGAGCATAAAGAATTGTTAAATTGTCTAGGCTTTCCTATTTAATGTAATACGTGGAACTGTGATATTTCATTTAGCCTAAGGGCAGTGGGAAAAAGAGCTCTATGAACCCAGACAATTTTGGAATTTCTGATCTAGTCTAATCAATTTTTCTTTTTCCTCCAAAAAAGTTTCCTGACCTCTACAGAATCACATCAGGTGTCTGTTTTATTCTGAGTCAATTAAAGGTGGACCAAGTCATTGCCAGAAATGAGGAACAAAACTCAAATTTATTTTAAAATATGAGTTCAAAACACTAATAGTCTATTCTTTTTGTCTGTTGATAACATTACTTCAAAAACAGGTTTGGGAACAAGCCAGATCAGTAATTCTAGAACACCTTTTACGCACATCTGATATAGCAATGCTGCCAATTACGATGACTTCAACTCTTGCCCTTGATTTTTTTTTTTTTTCTCCAGCTAATATTCTCTCAAGAGTTATAACTTCAAGGAGGAGAAGAAGGGGAAACAAGGAAGGGCAGATGATGGTGAGTTAGAGGAATTAATGAGATGCATATAAAGTATCAAATCCAACTAGTCTAGTCGAAGCCAGAGTTGTGAAGGGATGTTTCCACTATACTGTACGTTTTCCTCCCACTGAGAGAGATTCGCTAATTACCTCATTTTGCTTTACTTCTATGGTGATATTTCACTTCAATGCATTACACACAGATGTATTGGAGAGTATACCATTTTTTTTCTCTAATAATAGTAACCTCTTTATTCACCTACTATGTGCTAGCCACTAGTGACTGTCTGGCGTAAACTACATTGCAACTCCACCAGGGAGGCATTCTGCAAGCATTTTCTAGATGTAGAAACTAAAGCAGAAAGGTTAATAACCTGCCCTGGGTCACATAACTGGCAATTGGCAGTGCAGTGATGCATTCTCAGATCTGTTTGAGTCCAGAGCTTGCAACTTTTCCCCATGGCAATATTACCTCCCACAATTATAATTGTAAAACTGACTCATACGCAGTTTTATCCACCGCTGCTTCTAGGATCCTGGAACATCCTTTCTTTAAGGATACGTGATATTATTTGAGTAAAATATTAGCACAATTTGAGAAGCAAAACAGAAAGAAAAAAAAGGATCCATCATTTAGATGGAGTACTTTTTAAAGCTTAATCTTCTATGGCAATATTGTTATTTGTGTTGTAAAAGGTGCATTAAAAGTTTTAAGGTTATTATTTTTTTACAACCGTTACCCTATTAACATCATGTTATTCACATTTCACAAAGGAAATGGAGTGAAGTACAAGTAAGTGAACTGTCTTTCTTCAGTAGTCACATAGAGTGTGAATTTCACAGCAAATACATGGCTAGATCTTTGGGGATTTGCGTTGCCTTTCACCCCTTCACTGAATACTTCCTTTCCTACTTTATTCCACATTAATAATTCACTTCATTGGAACATCGCCTGGTTACCTCAGCTCAAGCCATGGACGGCTTTCCTTCATTTATAGTGGTAAATACTTAAAGAGAATATTTGCACACAGTTATTCAGGGATATTTGATCACAGGCTGAAGTGTGCAGATGCAGCCCTTTGAATCTGCAAAATTTATATTATTTGCCTGATATTCTAATATAGATGCTTTAAAATTGTAAAGTCATAAAGAGATTTTATCATTAATGTTTCTGTTCGCTCTGGGTCTGACTATGCAAAGGATGTGTGACAATTATTTTTCTTACCAGCACAGAGTCTGCAAGGCACAGACCTGGATCTCTTGTTTTTAATTTGACATCTTTGCAGTATGCAGATATTCTGCAACAAGAATGTAGCTGATGATAAAATTTCAGTGAAACTCATGATGACAGTCTAACCAAGCTGTTTCCCTGACTCAGCTCCAGTAATCCTAAGGGCTGTATTAAGTGATGCCTCCTCACTCTACTTTCTGGAGTCAATAAAATGGTCAGACGATATTTGGAAATAGCGCCTTTATGGAACCATTTTTTCTCTTTTGTAAACCTTGCCACAATTAGGTCACAAGACTCTGAAACGCCTGGCTGTTGCCAATTATTTGAGATAAGATCAAACAGCTGTTATAGCAGCAGCAGCAGCACCACCAAATCTATCATAGTGGTGGGTGCTGAGAACATAAGCCTCCCTTCGATTGGAGAACAGAGGACCCCTCAGTAGGAGGGTGAACAAACAGTTAATATGAACCTGGCCGAAGGACTAAAGCTCAGAATGTTTGCTTTCAGAATGAGAAAAAGGAAACTTCCTTTTCTTACAGCTTAATCGCTCTATTGCTATTTTTAATACACTCTACTTTGTAGAATAGCTGGACCACAGTTTTCAAGCTAAAGTAAAAATTAAAGGATTTATGATAATCCTATGCGGATGGTTGTGGGCGGTTCATTTTCAACTGGAGCATTTTCTCTTTCTTTGTTGCAGTGTTAACATTTCTCAGCTTCTTGCTACAGTGTTCTTCCCGAAACTACTCAAGTGGAAAAAAAAAAAAAAGTCTTACTAGATAAGCAGCAATTCTTACCGTATTGGGGAATAGTTCAGGTCCTCCTTGACTATTTATTAAAAGTAACTTCTTCAGGCTTTTAAACCCAGAATATCAAAGCACCCAAAGGAATCCTACCTTGCCCACATACTGATAATCGGATCCTGTGTACTCCTCGAGGAGAAAGAACTGATTCCACATCCAGCTCCTTTTCGAACGGTTCAGCTCATTTCTGCTGTTTCCAGACAGCTCCAGGGCCCTTTTCTTTGCCAGGAAACCACTAGTCCTCTTAGATAACGGAGTTGAGAATGTTGGGTTGGGCTGGCTGACCCAAAAGAGCAGCAAGAAGTACCGATAAGTTCTCATCCTGATGGCCCAGGCGAGTCTCTGGGTAGAGTCCCTCTCTCCTTGAAGTGCCTTTTTTCACTGCACTGTATCCAGCTTCATTCCTCCTTTCTCTCTTAATGTTCTCTGTTTGGCTCTCAGAGGGTATCTGGAAAGAATAATAACGTATCAAGCATTTTTAGAGATGCTTAAAATTCAGCGTTAGAGCAAATAGGCTGGAAAAAAAGGACAGGAATTTGAATAGCAAAACAAGAAAAAGTTGGCTATCAGTTGTGAAATAAGGAAACCAGTCTTTCAGCTACGCTGAGTAGAAGGCGTATACCCACTAGGAAGCTGTTGTTCCTTTCTCCTTTCTATCACTTAAAGGAATTCTATTTTAAGTAATAGCATTGCTGTAGGTCAACAAGCCAGCATAGATTATTTCACTACTCTTTACATTCGAATATGTGGGCTGAGATCTGGTAGGAAGACAGGAGTTTGTGTTTCTGATTCTATTTGCATATTTAGTCTCATGAAGAAGTCTAAGGCAAAGAATATCACAGGCCATTTAAATGCAATTGAAAGTGGGTAATGTTAGAATTTCGCTAGAATGTCCTGAGAACCTGTGATGCGCCAGGCATGAGTCAAGGCAAAGTCTATTCTGCAGACTCTGGGCTTCCTAGATATGCCCTGAGAAAACACTCCGGGTCAAACAGGGTTGGAAAAGACCATAGGTCTTCTCTTCAGAATGCTTATCAGCATATTGAAGTTTCTGAAGGGAAGTTCCTAAAGTGATATTTTGCAATGATGAGGATAAACCCCTATTTCATCTGCATCTCCCAAACTTAAGCGAAAAAAATTTTTCCTCATAAGAACTCATAACACTGTAGAATGAGCTAAGGACCAGCCTATAGAACTTGAATTTAATAGACTATTAACATTAAATGAGCAATTCTGTTCAATTTCCTAGGGACATTCTGAGTTTTTAACCTCTAAATTTCACTTGTATCATAAACCATCAAGCATATTTATAAAAATTGGCCAGTCTCTATGTAGTTTTCCCAAATACATCAAACATGTCTCAGTGGGCTGCAAGATTTCCAGAAAAGCCAGCTAGTATACTTGTGGGTAACTATTTTCCATAGAAACATTAATTTTCAAGACATGATCTATCATTTAAAGTATCCTGGGGCCAGACTGCTTGGAAAAAATGTCCCAAGTTGGTTTACTAGTGTATGCAATTAAAGTCATGTTATACCCATATCTCCTTCTTAAATGTTTCTTTACTACTTCTTCTTAAAAAAAAAAAAAAAGCTCAATAAATTATTTATCTTACTATTTGAAATAGAAGAAATATTTTCTTAAATAATACTAGCAACAACAACAACAACAAGGGAATGTTTTTAAAATATAGAACATGGGAATAATAGAACTGGTATATTCTACATCATGCAAATAAAGAAACATGTGTTAGGTAATGCAATCAATATATACATATTTGTACACACGTCAGAAAAGATTCATTCGCTTGATTCTTATTCTTCTCCCAGGTAAATGTGTATGTGTATTATTCTTTTTTTTTTTTTTTTTTTTTTTTTTTTTTTTGACTTTAACCCCAGCAATGACTAATTATCCTCATCTGACATGTGGCTAAGTGAAAGCTTTTGGTTGGAAGAAAAGTGAAATATTTCACAGTATTCAGCATTCTAAACCTTTATTCCATTATTATGTATCTTCTTGACAGCAGGCTAGGGAAAATTCCACAGGTGAGTAAATTAGTACTATGACAATTAGTCATGCTGGAAAAATGCCAGGCAACAGTATACTTGTCATTCTGCAGCCTTGGTACAGGTGTGCAGTGACTGACGATCAATTAGGTGGCTGTGATCCTTCTCTCTTCTCATTGCTGGTGTATAAAGGGGACTGAGAGGGCATACGGAGAAAAGCCCTCCAAAGACATCTATTCATTTTTGGGAGCAGAGATTACACTGAAGTTGATACGGTGGAAATTACTTTTTTCTTAATTTCCCACCTTCTCTATTATTTGCAAAGATAAATCCTACAGTGAAGAATTACACGTCTGCTGCTGCACTCCTTGTATGCCCCATGGTGTTGGCAGGAAAGAGGGATGCAGAGAATGGAGGTGTCAGCTGCTTAAAAGGCAGACTCCTAAAGGCCATTTTAAAGAAAAATCGATCCCTGTGGGTGTTGTGTGCAAACTCTACAAGCTGTTGCCACTTGAATATTAAATATTAGTTCTTTTTAATATCGCAGATACCAAAATGTCAAGTATTTCGTCTTTTTTCTTAGTTGGCGATGAGCTTTTAAAGTGATGCATATTTAAGCAGCATTTCTAGGTATGTTAGAACATCTAGTTTTTACAGTAACCCAGCTCTTTCTGTATTAACTTGATAGGGTGTGTCTTTGTTAAAAACTCAGTAAGTAAAAATGAATGACTATGATCCAGTCATGTTTGGTATCCATTTTTAAGAGAGATTTCTCTGTGAAATTCTATAGAGCTTTAAAAATAGAAATCCCTCTAAACTGTTGAATATATAACTTAGTAAATCTCATTTAATATTTCTTAATAGGCCGGATTACACAGTGGTTAAGATTATCAATGCTGGAACCAGTCTGCCTGGGTTTTAATCTAGGCTCTGCGACTTAATCTCTGAAAAATTGTTTAATCGCACTGTTCCTCAGTATGTCTTTTGTAGTGGCAATAATTTTATACCTCATGGGATGTTGAAAAGGTTATTTTTTTCCTTCACTTGTCAGATGGTGCAAGCACTCACTAGAGAGAGACAGAGAGACAGAGGAGAAATAACCCCCAATAAGGCGTGGTCACACTGCAGTACCTTTTCTTCTACGTCTTCATTCCACTGGGATTTGGGAAATGCATGCGCACAAGCCCAGTGTGTTTTTCATTTCTTCTTTTTTTTTTTTTTTGAGAGGATTTCGCTACAGGGCGCATGCGCTCGCCAGACAGACAGAGACATAGAGACAGAAAGTGAGAAATCACCCCCCAGGGGAATGGTCACGCCGCAATCCCTTCTCCTCCATTCTCCTCTCGGGATCTTGGGCATGCACACACATGCGCCCGGCGTGAGTTTTAAGCCACCAGATCCGGGATGCGAGCTGCGGTCGACTACGTGGGAGTCCAGCGACATAGCCATTACGCTAACTGCTGGTTCCCACCCAGTGTGTTTTTCAAGCCTTGGGCAGGGATTCAAACTGTGGTCAGCCATGTGGGATCCACCTCCCTTAACTATGAGGTCACAGGGCTAACATGTTGTAAGGATTAAATGAGTTCATTACATGCAAAACACTTAGAACAGTGCCTGACACTAAGCATTAATAAGTATTAGCTACTATTGTTACTGTTAGTGTTATTATTGTTACTATACTTAAGTTGTATGTGTAAAATCCATCTATAATACATTGCAAAAGTCTACAAAAGATACCATAATTTCCTCATAGGTCTAAATATATATATATATATATATGTTTTATTTATTTTTTTGAGAGATTTTTGCTATATGTGCTTGCCAAAGAGACAAAGAGAGTCAGAAAGTGAGAAATCATTCCCCTGGGGGATGGCCACACTGCAATCCCTTTTCTTCTATTCTCCTATTGAGATTTTGGGCACACATGTGCACACGCCCAACGTGAGTTTTAAGCTGCTGGGTCTGGGACTCAAACTGTGGTTGACTATGTGAGAGTCCAGCAACACAATTGTTATGGCATCTGCTGGTCCCCCTCAATAATTTTTTATTGTTCAGAAAGCATCGCTAAGGGCTGGTACCTGGCCTAGTCATTAAAGGAGCCCGATTCTACATGGCCAATGGCATTGTTTGAATCCTTTATTTGGAAGCTTGAAAAACATGCTGGGTGCGTGTGCATACATACCCAGATTCTTGAAAGGATGGCGAGATGGAGGAGAAAGGATTGTGGCATGACCATGCCTCATTAGGAAATGCTTTCTTCCTCTCACTGTCTCTCCTGTGAGCATGTGTTCCCTCTGGCAAATTAAAAAACAAGAAACAAAACAGAAGCCATTTCCAAGCAAGCCAATAGTCTTTTAAAATTATAGACTGCAAGGATTTTAAAATTAAAAATGAATTTATTTGCTAATCATTTCCCTTTGTGTGGACCCCAACTCAGCATTTAACAGTAATAGTGTAGGAATGAGAAGGCAGAGGTACTATGTTCCTTTTAGTGATGAGTAGAAGATAATTAAGATGTTTATGGATAGCGGGACAAGGCCCATACAGCATTGATAACCGCTACTTTGAACACTTACTTGCCTGGAAGCCAATATGCATATATATACTTGAATATTCACAAGAATACAGAGTCAAGTCCAGGTTTTATTTAATACATGCCAATTGGGAGGGACCTGGGCCTCATTAATTCAGGTTCTACCAATTTAGAATATGCGATAATTAATGCAGAAGCTGGGCTAAAGTTTTCCTTTGATTAGCAAAACACTTTTTCTCTAGATTATTGGAAATTATTAGTGTAAAAAATTTCACAGAATATATAGAATGAGAAGACAAGCTACAATGTCTCCAAATTCCCTAGAGTACTTTGGAACCATTTTCTATTTGGAAATAACTCACACACTAATTAGAACATTTCCATTGATTGACTTTGCTTCCCTAGTGACATTTTGATAACAGTTTGAATGACAACTGTATTGTCTGGTTTTGAGATACAATTCTATTACGTTCTTTGTAGACAAACAAATACGTAACTATTACACAATTTTGAAAGCCATATAAATATATTTAACTTTTAGAATTCATACTTGGACTACAATTGTTCAGTCATTCATTCTTGATTAATTCTAATCAGGAGAATATTACTATAATGCTATGTAGGCTTACAGAATAAATCCAGCACATTCAGTCTTTGGTAAGTGGAGCCTTAACTTTGACATAATCTAGTAAGCATTCAGTAAAGCAACATTATTAATATACTTTAACTATTTACCATAGAAGAGAGTGTTTTAAAATCTATTACAAATTGTTTCTTTAGATAAACGGGGTTGCATATATATATACTGTAGCATAGTATTTTGTATGATACAAAGTACTATGAAAACATTACAGAAACATTACAAAAAACATTTCTGTAAGTACAAGGGTTCTTCAGAAATTTTTGGAA